CCGTGTTTCGTCTGATGAGTGTGGTGCCGGAGGCCTAATTTTAGTCCTTTTCTATTTACCACCCTTTTCTTATAAGGAAAGGATGGGAACGGGAAGTGGATTTGACGGCCTAGGAGATGCATAGGAAGGGGAAACATCCTCTTTATGTGCATCTCCTCCTCTGTCGGATAAGGGTAGGCAACGCACCTGCAATTGCGGATGTCTATGGGCAGCGGTCGCTTCGTTCTTTTGGCGGATTCAGATGGCCACTTGCTCGTTTGCCACCTTATGTTATAAAAAAAAACTTTAAATCCATCTATGAATTAATTAAATCTATACTGATATTATAAAGAGGAAATATTTGTATTTTAGAATTTTTGTATGTATTCGTATCACGTAAAAACTACTACTACTATGCCGATTTCAATTCTTTTACCATTAGAAAGGTAATTTATCTGTGAATAACAGGCATCATTTTTTATTATTCTTAATTTCACGCGGGCAAAATCACGAGCAAAAGCTAGTGAATTATAATGCTGTTTGCATGGTGTTTATAAGGAATGCTTAATTACTTTATTTATTACTTAATTTTTTTTTTTAAATAACCGTAATACGGCAGTATTCAGATACTATATTATCGGTAACAATACAGGTGTCAGCAACTGAATGACTGGTGCCCGTTCCTGTTCCCGCTGGAGACGCGGCAGATGTTCTTCGCTTGCACCGCGTTTGGTACTTCCCGTACTATTGTGTGGCTTCAGGCGCAACGAGATCGTGCTTTGGATAGACAAAGGTATGGAGCGAATGTTTGTTTATAACACTAAACCTACTTGTACATATGATAATGTTATAATTTTTTTGTTTTAGTGCAATTCAGTCGTAGAATTAACGTTAAGTTGTGGTTGTAAATAGTGGTATAAATATTATGTTGTGTCAGGGCGGGCAACACGGTGTCGCCGCGGCGCGCGGACATCGAGGCGACGGAGTTCCGAACGGGCCGTCTGCGCCACGAGCGCGTGCGCATCCCGCGACACCCCAACCTGCTGCGCTCCGCCATGCAGGTACACCGCACCATATCTTATTGCATTTAAATAATGAGTCATTGTAAAGTGTTTTAACAAGCTAGATATAAAAATTAGGTACATAACCCAAGTATTCTTGGGTTTTGAGCGAAAATACTCTACCGTCATCTTATAGGACTGTTTTTTTTTGTCTGAGTTGCCACTGTTTGCTTTGAAGAGGCATTTACAGATTCGCCGGGCTTGATGTGGCCAAGTGCAGATGGTGCATAGCCTTAACCTCGTTTATGAGTAACTAAGCCGGAGGGCTCCCTCAGGAGCCTCGGCTCGGGCCGTTACTTTTTTATTATAACCTGATTGTTCTTATACGACTGACTGTTATTATTCATGTTTATCGTCCAACCATAAAGAGACAATGTGTGTTGTACAGGTGATGCGCGTACACGCGTCCCGCAAGTCTGTGCTGGAGGTGGAGTTCGCGGGCGAGGAGGGCACGGGGCTGGGGCCCACGCTGGAGTTCTACGCGCTGGTGGCGGCCGAGCTGCAGCGCGCCGACCTCCACATGTGGCTGCAGGACGACGTCGCCCCCGACACCTCCCCGGCACACTCCGCCCCGCCCTGCAACCTCTCCCTGCTCGACGGTACAACACATACTGTTACTTGTTTAACAACTTTCTTACTCTATTTTTCACATATTTGGCTCTGGCTTTAGACATAGCCAGACCATGACAGTAAAGAAGTTATGCAGTACAACAATGCGACATTTTAATAAAACTGCCTTGACATTTATTTCTTTATTTTTATGCATTATTTCTATTTATTAGAATTTAACAGTATAAGGAATGTTTGTATTATTATTGTTGTTATATTTGCAGAAAAGCCGCCGGGGTACTACGTGATGCGGGCCGGTGGCTTGTTCCCCTCCACGCTTCCTCAAGATTCTCCTTTCTGTGATAAAGTTTGCAAATATTTTTGGTTCCTAGGAGTATTTTTAGCTAAGGTGAGTCAATAATTTGTTCTAAATTATAAGATT